CTCATAAAGAGGGCAGATAGCGTGGATGCGGCTCAGTCGTACGCGGGAGGCCGGGCGGCCTTTTTTCCTTATCAGGAAATAGATGAACTTAAGCGCAGAGCGCCCACGAGGGTGCTGGGGGAGCCGGAGCGTCGCTCCGGCTGCGCTTCCGGCAGCCGCTGCCGCTGCGCTCGTTTGAGCAGAGGAGCCCCCTCCAGCCACTCATTGCCATGTCGCTGCTCTTGCGCTGGCACAAGGCGTGATGCACAGTGGGGAAATGAGCCCCACAGAGCAGGGTTTGGGCCGGGGTGAAGCTGTACAAAAAACGTGTTGGGCAAAGGGGCAGCACACAACATATAGGAACCCTTGTAAGCTAGGGAGGGAGGGGGAAAGGGCTACCAGGGCTCAAGGTAAACACCATGAGGAACTCACTCACATCCTATCAGTAACTGACATGTCCTGCCTTCATCTTTTAGTATGTTCAAATACAGTAGTATAGGCAAATTATTCACTTCCATAGCAACCCATTTTTAATATAGTCTCAAACACAGTGTATTTTCTGTTTTCAGCTATGAAGTAAATATACACTGAATTGTATTTTCTCCATTAACCGAAAATATTAAATGGAGAAACCCCCTAGTAAAAGGTGTAATTCCTAATTCTGAGTTCTGTTATATTCTGGTCTATCCAAATCAAGATCCCTGTGCAAACCTGTTAAATTACAAATATTGTTATAGACAAATGTGAATGTTCTTTGAATAAATTACCTTCCAATAAACACAAGTATATATAATTTTAACATTTGAAACTGTCTGATACTCAAAAGGACACTTGAGAGCTTTTCTTTTTTTATATATTTTCAGGTTCATTCCAGATCATTATGAATTTCCTCTTTGTAGCTTTCAATAAATGAGTAAATCCTGAAAGCTAAGAGCTAGGCAGGCTAGTAATATTTTTTCAGAGTTGTAGCCTACACTACTGCCAAAATGAGAAAAACAACAGAGCAGAAAGGCGTCCTCCATCAGTGAGAATAGCAAATCACTTAGAAACATTAGCAGAAACTCTGGCAAGTCCCTGCCTTATCTAGCTCTACCTGTACAAACGTGATAGTGCTCACATGTCCACTGAGTGATCCCTGTTCTACAGGTCCTTCATGCTAACACTCCATCCAGTGCAAGAAGGAGATACAAAGGAACTGCGCTGGGATGACAGAAAAGTACAAATCTGATAGAGGAAACAGAACTTTAAATGAGGTATTTTTGTTTCCCCTTGGCCACCTTTCAAGTAACCATACGACTTCTAGGATATCGTAGCTGCAGTTGTTCTCTTGGGTCTGCTTTTGTTCTGTGCCTCTGCAGTGCGTGATGCTGTTGGCGACCGCGCAGGGAGGGCTGAGCCGCTGTCCCCGGGGCTCCTGCCGGCGCGGTGCCGCGCTGGGGAACGTGCTGCCTCCCTGCCGTGCCCAGCGCCCGGGCCCAGCTCCCCCCGGCCGAGTTCCACCGCCCGCATCCCTGCTGCCCTGCCAGCCCTTCTCTCCATACCCCAGGGCTGGTCCTGCACATATTTCCAGGCCACCATAAATACTCTCCTCCCTACTCACAAGCCAGGCTGTCTCATTTATTCCTTAGTACCTTTGATTTTTTTTCTCAAATTCTCTGCTTTTATCACTTTCTGGGCTATTTCTGTCATTCTGTATTTTTCTGCCTACAAACAAGATCCACTTGGAGCTCCCCTGCAGTGCTGTTCATGCTCTTTTTCAGCCTCAGTCTGGACACTCATGCATGGGAACTCCAAGGAACTGTTATTGTTTCATAAGAGCAGGAAAAAACATTGATTCAAGTGCAATAGGAAAGGTATTAACAAACTTTAGAAACTCTTTTTTTTCTCTTGAGAAGAGAAAGCTTACTATAACTTAGCTTAAGATGGAAATAGAGGGGTATTCCAGCATGTTTGTAAAGGAAGATAGTACATAGAATACCATCATTCCCAATTCCTCAGTTTAGTTTCATTAGCCGGCAGGCTGCGCACACTCGGAAGTGAATTGTTTTTGTAAAAGTCTTGGGGTTTCAGGTCAGTTCAGATCAATACATTCTAAGCAACGGCTCTTGACTCAGAGCAGAAGTGGCTGCAGGTGACTGTTAGCCCTCAACTGAATTCTGAAACCATCTCGTTTACAGAAGCCTCCTCCTTCTCATCTCTACTCCTGCATCCCGACACCAGCTCCCACCTCAACTCTGCAGGGTCTGACTGGGAGCTGGTGCCGTAGCCTGCAGAGCTCAGGCCTAGGGCTCTGCGAGGCATCCCCAGGACCTTCTGTCCGCTCACCGGGCTCCCTCTCCACGCCACCTTGGGATCTTGTCCCCTCTGCACGGCTGGCTCTCTCTTCTCCTGGGGTCTGCCAGTTTTTGGCCTCCCTGGTGAGCTTCCCAAATCTCCCAGCCCAGCCTGTGCCACGAGGCTTTCCTGCCACCTCTCCTGCACCCCCAATCCTCGCCCTTGCCTCCCTTGGCTGCTTTTCTGCAGTTCAGATGGAGTTGATGTCTGAAGAGGTAACATGAACATCAGGGAATTCGTATGTTCAAGTGTCTGAACCTCCCTCCTCTAGCTACAGCACTTGCTTTGACCAACTATTCATATCTCAAAGACAAACCTAGCAGATAGTTAAATATTTTGTCTTTTGAAGATGCTCATTATCACCTCCTTACCACTGATTTCAGTGCTAAAGAGCATTAAAATAGCCATACTGATCATTTGTTAAAACAATTACATACTGAGCTGCAGTCCAGTTTGGGATGGGAAATGTAGAATAAATCCCTTGGAAGGGAGAAGCTTTGAAATAACTGAATGCTAATGTGAATTAACCTCAGTGGTGTCTTCTGCCCCAGTGTTACTAAGCCTGGGCTGGCTTCAGCACTGCACTAAAACCACGTAGGACTGAGCAGATACCACAGAATGCTAAAGGTCCGAACTGCAACTGCAGCGCTCGGCCAGCTGCAAGTTCAGAAGCGAAGCCTGAGCACTGGTTACTCCCTGCTCCATCACTGCACCTCGAAGAGATCCACATCCCCAACAATCTTGAGAAATTCCAGGGCACTTTTAAAAATGAATAAGAGAACTGATGCTAATTTAGGTGATTACAGTGGAGATCATCCACTGGTTTAGTGTATTTAGCCTAACATCTTGCTCTATAGTCCCCTGTAATGAAAGAGCAAGGTGCAAAACTCAATGCTAACAGCGACACAGGAGCGAGAGCCTTGGGCTGAGCCTTCAGTTCCTGGCTTCCGCTCCCAACTTCAGCACTGACACACAAGGGATCTAAATTACTTTGTGCTCTCCATGGCTCCAAGTGGAGAGGGTGTCATTGCTCTCTGATAAAGCGAGATCTGCAAGGAGAAAGTATTGCTAGGCTTTATTTCTCAGTAGTTTTCTCCACCACTTAATACTAGAATGCTGCTTTTCCCCCATTAAAAATCATGCACTTGGCAAACATTTAGACAGCTGGTGCCTAATAGTCAAAGCCAGTTGCTCTTGCAAAGGCCAAGCAGCCTTGCTGAATTGATGTCAGCTGACACATTGTAGGATTTTAAAATTCAATTAAATTAAGAGACAAGCTACACAGATTAGGGCTATGCTAAAATCAGGAAAAAAATCTTAAAAGGCATAAAACGTCTTTACATTTATTAAGCAAACTCTGCAGTCTTTTCTTGTTATATTCTCGTTGAAAAACAGAACATTCAGAAAGTATCATGAAAACAAGAAACAAAATCTAAGGTTCACATGAGCCACACTCCCCTTCCCCCCTTCCCTCCCCCCAAAGCAACGGGACTATCTTCATACCCATCCCACTTTCAACTTTCCAACAAAAACAGCAAGGCACCCATTTACAGCTGGGCTGGGAAATGCAGTCTTAACGCAAATCACAATTCTGCATTCCTAGCAATCCACCGTAACCACTCTTCCCTCGTGTATTAAGATACGCAGATTATATATACCCACGTAGGTACAGATAGAAAACAAAAGGCCAACATGAGTTGTTCAGCAGAAGCGCCCATTACAGCTCTGCTGGAATTTCAAGTCTGGGAAATGACCAGTCAGCTGGATATTCCTTGGTTATCGTGACAGTCATTAACTCCCTTTCCCTTCGTGCACACCAGTCCAAGCCTGCAAGGTTTAACTGGGCCTACGTGTTCTCCACAGTGGGATGCAAATTTCCACAAAGCCAAAAAGCAGAGGGAGGGGGCGGCTGCCTCTGCCATTACAGCAGAGCCAGGAGAGCAAAGGATTATTTCTTGGCATTTTTTTTTCTCATTTTCAAAATTAACTTGAGGATTATGAACAATTATGCTCTTCCATGTTAATCACTGTGATCTAAAGTTTTCACATGAAGAAACAACACAGGGAAATATTAAAGCACTCATCTTATGGACATGGATCGGAGAACTGTTTAATAGCAGTCAGTGAAGGGGTAACATTGTGCTTTTAATCTACAGTTTAAAAATAATGATTTGTATATCTACTTAGTAAAACAATAAAATTAAGAACAGAAACTGATATTAGGAAACAGTGAAAATGTAATAATTAAACACATGATGCTTTTCAAAGCTATATACTTAATGAGCCTAAATAGACACCTATGATTAAGAGGGTCTTAAAAAAATAATAATAAAAAAGAGACTTATTTTCAATATTTTTTTCTCAATTTTTTACTACTATACTGTATGCCTTGCTTTGGTGTTCTCTCTGCTGACAACTGAATGCTTTAACAGTATGTTTATGCTCATGTTCTTTTCAAATGCTTGGCATTATAGTGAGATCTCATATCTTTTCTCAAATTAAATTTGGCTCCACACACTCCACATGTATACAGATGAACATCCATGTGCTGCTCCAGTTGTTCATTATTTGGGAATATCTGAAAGCAGACCTGGCATATAGTCTCTCCAGCTGATAAGTGAGATATCATATGCCGTACATGGTCATGTTTTCTGAAGTTTCCTTGATCACAAATGGAACAGACATACCTGGCCATTCCCTTGTGCATATCATTGTGGAGCCGCAACTGGCGTTCTCTTAAGAACTGCTTCCCACATGTCTGACAAACAAACTGTTTTTCCTTGGTATGAACAGTATAGTGTTCCCGCAAGTGACACCGCTGATAGAAGCCTTTCCCGCAAAGGTTGCAGAAATGCTTACGTCTGTGATCTCGTTCGTTCTCTTCCATCATGGAATTCTTAAACAGATCTTGCTCTAGGCAGCTTGACATATGTTCAACCACTAGGCTTTCAGTTTCAAAACGCTGGCCGCAATTAGGGCATCGGAAAGGACACGCAGAATGCTTATATAACTGTTTTTTTTGAAGACTGTTCATTTGGAAATGCCCGTCCCTGAAGTCCTCTAGCATCTCTGCAAACATCATGTCCCTTATTTCTGACTGTTCCTCAGCATTTTCTTCCAAGTCCATTTTTTCCTCAGAATTTCTTATACCATTCATGGTCAGATCCTGGGGTTCTCCACAGGTCTGTGCGTGATCCTGTAACTGTTTACCTTTGACCAAGATTTGACCGCACTTGCCACAAGCACATATATTTTCTATGTGTTTGGATAAATAATGGGAAGATAGATCTTCCTCGGTGATTGTTAGCCCACAAAGTTCACAGGGAGCATTCTCCACATCTTCCTGCACGGAAGGAGCTTTCCTACTAAGGTGCCGGGGACTTTTTAAACACTTTCTTTCATCCTCATCCATGGATAAACGGGGCTTTAAAGTCTTCCGAGCATTTCTCTTCTCCCTGAGCTCTTCTTCAACGTAGTATCTGTAAAGCGGCTCTTCCTGTTCATCATCGAGGTCATCGTTGTCAGAAGACTCATTGCAGTCTTTATCTGTCACTTTAATAATATTAAAATCTTTCAGCTCATCGGTGGGATTGTCCTCTGGTTCCATCTTGATAATAATCCTCTTCCTCTCAGAGGCCCTGCTTCCTTCTTCACCTGATGTCTCTGATGCAACCGTGCTGCTTTTTCTGCTTGTGATGTTTGACACGGGAGATGATGAATCATCAGCAGCTTGGCTTGTGTCCCCTTTATACTTCTCTGTTTGTCCAGAGAGTAGTTTAGAAGAGTCTTTTTCGCCAAAGTCACTTTTTTCAGCACCGTAGTACCTGGCACTTTGGTAAGGATGCCTGTTGGTGCACGTTAACACGTGCTCATCCAGTAACTTTTCACAGCTAAAGCTGAACCCGCAGCTGTCGCAGGTGAAGCTCCTTCCGAAACGGCGGGAATGGGACACGCGATCCTTCGTGTGAGAGAACTTGGACGTGCTGCTTTTTTTGCAGACGTCAAATAGTTGTTCGGGGAAAGCGCTCAGCTGCAAAGCTTCTTCATCGGGCTCTTTGTTATGGGACGTATTTACTGTTGAACTTGGCGGCTCCATGCCCCACCTGTTGGCTTCACTGCCATTTCTAGCAACCGTATCTTCATACATCCTCACGCCAAATATCATTTTACTATTCTGGGTGCTAGAAGCAGAAGATGAACATTTTAAACTAGATGAGTCTGTATCCTGTATATCTTCTAGACATTCAGGTACATTGTACAACTGTAAATAGTTCATGGCTACTTTAAATTGCTCAAAATTGGTAGGGGCTGTCATAATTTTTCCCAAATACATGAACTGTAAGATGAGATCAAAACATTCAGCACTAATCTTCATGTTGCTTAGATTCAGCTGGGCTGTAGTGTGTTGATGGTTCATAAAAAACATCCTAAAATAAGAGCTGCACGCAGCAAGGACTGCTTTATGTGCTTGAAAATAAATATCATCAATAGCAATGCAGCAGTCGCAGAGAAAGCCCCACTCTCTTTGGTTGTTTAGCTGCTGAAGGACATAGTTGCTGTGGCTGGTTCGTGCCATCTTGCACTTCAGTTATAGCCCTGCATAAAGAAGAAGACATCTGTTATACGAGGAGCACAAAAGCAAAATTTACTCAAGTGTAGGCAGGAACTGCCATCTTTTTCCTCTCTAGATCTTCTCACACTGTCTGTGGTACAATTTACCATCTGGAGATCTTTGTTGGTAACTGCTGAAGAATATTAATGCCAATGAAAACATCCATAATTCCGTGTTCTCACAATTAGACTTACAATAGGAATAAGCTAGTAAATATAGCCACCGCATGCGTGACAGAACACTGGAGCTAGAATATAAATTGGCAAATATATCTCAAAGTTTTACAGCCCCTGTTTTCACATAGCAATTCTGGATGCAGCACTTCAAAAACTTAACAGGGTAGATGTCTATAAGACGGTCCCAGCACACTATCTACACAAGATGACTATAAGAAATTACTGTTTAGTCTCAACTTGCCTTCTTCACCTGCCAGTGTAAGGTATGTGAGGGCACAGGTTATTGGAAAACAGGCCTGGCTCAGCTCTCCAAAAAACTTAAGGAAACAACCATATCAGTGGAGTGTCCACTGAGGCAATATATCCGCACACCTATTGAACGTCAGGGCCGCTCGGGAGCATTCTCAGCTTTATCTGGCAGGCATCCTGCAAAGCAGACCCACGAGCACGCGCGTCCTCGCGGCGCGGCCTAGAGCGGTGCCACATCCAACGCGCCGTGAGGGCCGCGCGGCGGCAGGCACGGCCCCGGGCATCTACATGGGGCACGGGGCAAAGAAACACCCGGCAGCGGAGAGCCGCGGAGCTCGGCAGAATGGAAGGGCTGATGTGGCCTTTGCAGAAAGGAGAAAGAAAACGTGCTGTTCTTACAGTAGTAAAAATACCCAGAAGAAGGATCTTGTAAAAAGGAGGGGTGCACTTGGTTTACAAAAGGTAAAACTATAGCCAGTTCAGCCACTGCTCATTCTCAGAAATCTTCACTCGTGTATTTAATCCCTACTGAAAACACGGGGCAGGGGTAAGGAAGCAAAAGAAGGCGTAAAGAGCACCCTAACTGAAGAGAAAAGCCTAAAGCAGCAGTGAACATTCTCAACATCGTGAAAGGCTACTGCAAACAATAGAAATAACTGTAAGAGATCTGTATAAATAAAGTACAAGCTAACAAGCAACATGTGAAGCAGTTTAATATGCTTCTTAGTGAAGTGCTTGGCTTGCTCTGTGACAGGAATATTATCTCCATTCTTTAAACTGTCCAAAATTAAACCAAACAAGAAAAAACACACAGAAACGCTCTTCAATTTTTTCTTAATCCTCACCATCATTTTCCTGACAATTTACATCTCCCAGAGATGGGGATATGAGCACAGAAAAACGCAGTTCGTCAGTTATGGCACTGAATTCACAAGTCAGCAGCAGGCCTGACATTAGACACTGTTCTCTTCCTCGGTTTTATCGGTGACAACTGCGGAACCAACACGTTGGGGTTCCCCAGACGGGAAAACCCTCCTGCCAATTCACAGAGTGCTCTGCCACAGAGGCACCACAAGCAAGTATTAACACACAGAAAATATTTAAATGTATCTACGTCAACGTAAGTACTGTCATCCTCCCTCTGTATTCTGCATTAACCTGCTGTACGTAACGGTTTATTTACAGTGCCAGTTTCATACTGCAGCAGGTCCTGGAGCTGAACCCAGTCTTCTACCCCAAAACTCAAAGCGAGCTCCGTGCCGCAGTCCTCTCCCCAGCCTGGCTCCCTGCGACAGCTGAGGAAACATAACTCGTTACATGAAATTCATTAGTTGGTTTTCTTACTAACATGCCAAAAGGTGGCTTTGGATACTGAAGCATCTCTGAAACAATTTCATGCCTTTTCTGCAGAAAAAAAAAAGTCTAGTCCAAGTCTTTGCTAGCTTCAGATGCTAGCAAAGCTCTCGACATCGAGCAACAATAAAGGGCACTTGACACGTTTCTAAGTGCTAAGGTGTTTGGGATTCGAGGTAATTCATCAGATACCTGACACACTGAGTTGCAACAATAACAGCTGAATATTAGCAAAGAATTGACTTCAACTTCCACAAACAAGAAGAAAGAGTGAGAAGATACGGTCTGAAACACTGCTGGCCTTTTGCTGGGTACTGCCATCAGTACAAGAAAAGGCTCAGGTTTGATAGAGGAAGAATTTAGAAGTGCTGGGTTTAATCTTTATTATTTTTCCCCATACAAAGGCAAGTTTTAATTTTTCATTAAAAAAATAACTTTTTGTACATGTTTTCCACTGTGTCTTCTAACAGAACCATGGCAGTACAAGCAGCAAGCCTGTACCAAAACGATGGTCATAAACCATCCACATGCACCTGCACGTAGCAGGCATGTCAAAACAGTGACTTGGCGCCCAACATATCTTTTCTGAATTTCTTCTTTGGAAAAAAAGTGAAAAACGTTTCCTCTTTTGACAGGGGAGCTCTGTGGAGCTTTCAGCACGTGAGTCCTGAGGTGCAAAATCGACGTACTGACAGCGCCTGGCTCCTACCACCACTCTGGACAGAACCAGCCTGAGATCAAAGCTGCTTGAGCAGTAAGGTAAGAAGCTCAGATACGTACACAGTACCTCCCTCCAAGGTATGACAAGCACGTCGCAAAACACAGAAAATGTTTAAACTTATCTATGTTAAAATAAGCACTGGCATCCTCCCTCTGGATTGTGTATTATTAACCTGTTCTGTCTAACTATATGTTTACAGTTGCCAACACTTCCCATTGACAGAACCTGTTTTGGCTAATTTAAAACTTAACACATTTCAGCTAGGAAAGGTAAAGGTTTCCTTGAAATTTTCTGGAAAAAAATAAAATATCAGTCCAACGCAGACAAATTTTACCCAAAACAGTTCCAAGAATGTGGCTATGAGAAAGCTTTTGCAAGAAATGTGTTGGAAACCTTTGAAGAGAGCCTTCATATGCGAAAGGGTGCCGAGCTTAGATATGTTGTCACAATGCAAAAATCTGCCTAATTTGACCAAGCTACAAACTTGGGGCAGGGAGGATGAATTACCAGTTTGTTCACACTTCAGATTGACTCCATTAGTAATGATAATCTCAGGTTGTAGCCTTGCTGAGAACATTTCTGCAGCTCCTTTGTACATGGGAGCCTGCCCGAGTGTGAAAACACCCCTTTCCCCCAGACCTCGGCTTGGTGCGGCCACCAGGGACTGGGTGCTCCTGCTGCGCTCTCCGCGCTCCTCCCCACAGCCCGAGGGAAAAGGTGCTGGTTCTGGTTGGCAAGAGCCAGATCGAGGAGCCGGCTTGGTGAAAATAGACCGGGAGCCATGGAAAGGACACGAGGAGAAAGAGTGAGGAAAAGCTGTGGGAGCTAGGGGCCAGGACAAGCCAGGCTGGGGAGAAAGGGGAGGAAAACAGAAAAAAAAAGGGGAGGAACTGCAGAAAGGGCAGTCACAGGATAAAGAGATAGGTGAAATGAGGATCTAAAGAAAGGGAAGGCAACTGCTTGGCCAAATCACAGGAGCTAGGGCAGCAGGAGGGACATGACAGGACAACCTTCTGGCTTGAAAATGAGCAGGAAAAAAATCCTAGCATTCACCTGCTCAGAACCTGGAACCGAAGTCTGAATTTGCCATTCGGCCATTTCCTCGCAGTGGTCACTAATCATCCTGGTTTGCTCACAAGCTCTTCCTCATCAAGAGCAAAACCTCAGAGAACCTTAACTTACAATCACTTTGGTACTTTAATTGCTAAAATGGCAGAGATCTGCATCTATCATCCCTGTGGGTGGTTCAGTGTTGCAAACTATTTTTGAAGTTTGCTTTGGAAAGAAAAGCAAACATTAGAATAAAAACAGGCCCTTTTTATAAAAGCAAATCGAGGCTTCAAATTTAAGCGCCATAATTAAGCATCCCAATGCAATATTAATTCAGCTACTCTTTAAAAATATGTTGTAGTTCGGTCTTCGAATGCTCCTTTTACCAAAGACTCTCACTCAGGAAAACAAGATCCCATGGTTTTCAGCAGCGGGATATGCCATTTCAGCCCTTTTTCCCTTTTAGATAAGTCTGGCCTGCATTTGTTTTTTGGATGTCCAGCTGTCGATACGCAGGGGCACAGTTAGGAACTGAGCTCAATGAGAGTTTTCCCATTCTGTGTACATGACTATCTTGGAAAATCAATGCTCTGTGCACATTAGTTTGCCCACTCAAAATGTGTAAATACTTCTGATCCTCTCTGACTCCCTTTCCCGGTTCAGAGCATGGCCAGCCTCTTGCCTGACGTTTGTGAAGAGCCCAGCTGCTGCAGTCACAGAAAAGTCCATGAGGAACCTAAGTAATTCCATTCTGAACAACAACTCATTAGCAGTAAACGAAACAACTGGCCACACTATGAACGATGCAGAGGTGAAAAAATATGCTAGGAAAATAGGATATTAAGGTAAAAAGCAAATATATCTTACTCAGGCAATTTCACGCTGATCTTCAAACCCAAAGTCACTATGTGCATTCTGTTTTTCTAGTAAATGTGTTTTTATATTGCTACGCTTTGATTCAAACTGTTTGTCTGCTGTCAGAATTTTCCTTTTGAGTCACCACTCAGATAAAATTACTACTCAGATGTTATCATGAGCAAGGTAAACTGCACTATTAATGCTGTCTAACCAAATACGTTGCTTAGAAGTTGCTAAGCAGAAAGAACAGACATTTCCTATAGTAAAATGCTTTTTTCCCCCCTCAAATTTAAATCTTTTAAGATGTTTTAAAACTGAAGAAGTAAAAGCCCTCTTTTTTTCTTCTTTTTTTTAACCTCTAAGAGACACTGGTAAAGTTCTGGTAACTTGCCTTTAAAAAACTACCACAACATTCAGGATTTAGGAGCCTTTCAGCTCCTAAAATTAGTAGGTGGTTTTCAAAACCCAGCATTTCCACTGCTGAGCAGGCAAAAACGGATTGCTTACATGCGTAGTTGCTGGCTGCTTTTCTTTGGAAACCAAGAGCAGACTCAACAAAAGTATAATAAATGAGCAAAGAATTTGGTGCTAATAGAAAACCAGACAAAAACCTCAAGAACACAACTCCCAGTTATCCAAAGAAAGAGCGTGGGCAGCAGAGACCACATTCCCCATCCCACTCTGACGCCGTATCTCAAACCCAACCTGGGTTCTTAAGAACTCCTCCCAGAAGAGATAG